TATGATTGAGTTAATTCATAAACAGTGTTTCATTAAAGAGTTTGGCCACCAGAGGGCGCTGACTTAATTATAAGCTCCACATACACGGTGACTATTCTTTAAGAACCATGTTGAAGAGATCCTTATTAGAAATTAAATATAATCTCAGATACTGTGTATATGCCAGTCAGAAGTATTATTGTCAATCTCTTTATTTCTCTAGTTCTAATGTAAAAATGCATTTAAGACACAGTCTTCTTAGATTAGAACATTAACAGTGACAATGCAGCTTTCACAAACACAGTGTAAAACACAGCTTTGACCTCTGATGCATTTGTTTTATTTCCATAAGAGTGGACATGATACTGAGGTGTGGCGTCAGGATACAGAGAGACTTCTGAACATCAACCCTGCTTTAGATGATTTAAACAGTATGTGTGTGAAGTTAGATTTAGATTTAGAATAAAAGACAATTCTAGATCAAGTTTCCTGTAGTTCCCGTGTCTCTCTTGTTATGCTAACAGAATAAGTTACAAATGAATTAAAATTAAAAATCAGTTTCTGTCTATTCACCTGTGTCTTCTTTGTCTCCTTTTATTGGAGTGGAATTGTTTCCCCTGCCTGGTTTTATTTCCACAAAGAAAACATCATCATCAAATGATCATGTTGACAATGAATGCTGTTATTACATGATCATATTCAACCTTTTTGAGTGTGTTGTTTGTGCCCACCATGTAACAAATGTGGTTTTATATTGAAGTGATCAACAAATAAAATGTCATCTACTTTTCACAGTTTGGGCTTTCTCATCATCTTTATCAGGAAACTGATGACTCATTAGGCCAGAAACAGACCTGACTGTGTTCCTGTTGCCCCTGTTGTTGTGGCTGTTGCCCCTGTTGTTGTTGCTCCTGTTGCCCCTGTTTGTTTGAGGCTGTTGCCTTGTTGTTGTTGGCTCCTGTTGTTGTTGCTCCTGTTGTTCTTGCCCCTGTTGTTTGGCTGTTGCCCTTGGGTTGTTGCTCCTGTTGTTGTTGCTCCTGTTGTTGTGGCTGTTGCTTCCTGTTGTTGCCCCTGTTTTGTTGTGGCTGTTGCTCTTTGTTCTTGTTGCCCCTGTTGTTGTTTGGTGTTGCTCCTGTTTGTTGTTGCCCCCCCCCCCTTTTTTTTGGGTTTTTTGGTTTGTGGCTGTTGGCTCTTGTTGTTGTTGGCTCTGTTGTTGTGCCCCTGTTGTTGTGGCTGTTGCTCTTGTTGTTGTTGCCTGTTGGTTGTTGTGGGCTTGTTGCTCCTGTTGTTGTTCCTGTTTGTTGTTGTTGCCCTTTGTTGTTGTCCTGGTTGTTGTTGCTCCTGTTGTTGTTGCCCCTGTTGTTGTTGCCCCTGTTGTTGTTGCCCTTGTGGTTGTTGCCCCTGTTGTTGTTGCTGTTGTTGTTGATGTTCCATGTTGTTTCTATGAAGGCCGTTGTTGATCAGTTGCTCAGCAACATCATAATAGTCCTCATCATCTTCTAATTTTTTATTAATTGCTTTAGTCAAGTGTTGTTTTGCTTTTTCTCTGACAATCTCTTTACGTACATTGTTCTCTTCTTCCAAAATCAGTTTGACTTAAATTTTCCTTCACAGCATTTCCTCCATCCAAAAGAAGACATCAGGACGGCAACAAGTATGATGACTAATAGAACTGAGAAGCCAATAATCTGAAAAGAAGCATCAAAGATAGATGGTTATATTGGCAGTGTTCTTGTGTTATTATAGTAATTACATGATGATACACAGGCTGATCAGTTAGAAAGACCACACTGGAACATTCGGCATTAAGTTATCCAGAAAAACATAGAAAAAGCCATTGTCTCGCTGAAATGAAACCCAGTTTTTGCCTTTTATAGAAAACATATCACAGTCAGAACATATAAAACTTAAGACAAAACAGATCAAATGTTCTCTTTGAAACATACAATTCTAAAAAAAGAGTAATTACCATCTGATAAATTAACTAAACTAGGCGGATAATGAATGCATCTCTGTATGACTTCTTGGTCCATAGAGAATAAGACAGATGGCAACATAAAGGTTAGCCGTTAGCCAAATTGTTTTTTAATGTAGTTGCACTGGTTTCTCCACCTTGCATCTGTTCAGACCTGCAGACCTCTTACTGAATACACACTAGTAGGAATATACGTTGTTTGTGCTGTGTGCTGCTGCTTGCCTGGGATGAGAGATTTAGATATAAACAATCTCTACTAATCTGATCCTGAAACGTGAAGTCTGGAGGTGCACATATGCTTGAAAAAGAATGTGTTGCCTGTTGTTCCAGGACAGACTGTCTCTATCAGATGTAAAACCAGTTCAGGTGTTGGTAGCAACCTTCACTGGTACCTT